TCCTCCTTCCTCCAGTTTTCACAGCTCCATCTCCCTCCGTCCCAAACGTGGGGATGAAAGAATATCAAAGAACTGCAAAGTATTTCTTTACAGAACTCTGCGCTCTGAAGTGCTTCAGTGGCGATGCCCTCGCAGTGTGGAAGCACACACAGCTGCCTCCCAAACCCCCACCCTGCACCAAAAACACCTGCAGCCTTGAAATCCGGGTCTGAAACAGCTCACACTCGTAGCCCAGAATCACCAACTGGTCTCAAAATGCTTCTCTTCAGAAACACCAAGGGAGCAAAACTCATAGCTTTCATCTGGTTCGAGCTCCTTGAATTTAAATCTGATCTCTGGAAATGCTTTGGCACTCCTGGACCACTTATTTCTTGGCCATAGCAAAAAGCAAAAGGTGTGGGCCAAAGTAAAACAGCACTCTGGAAGCACAGGGAGCCTAGAACAGAAGGAACAAGGCAGATGCATCACGTGGAAGGATCAGCAGCACCATGCTGACAGCAGCCTGCCTCCTCCTGCCCAGAGCCAACAGCCAGCAGGAGCGTGATTGCAAAGAGCATTCGAAGAGAAAGAATGTTTAAACAGAATGGGTCCGAGGGATTTATGTATTTTCTTTAGTGTTTGCTCTAGAAGACAAATAATTCACTCTCCGCCTCCTCCTGCGGCACAGCTGGAGGTAAAACAAATCAGGATTATTTGATCTGGTGGCAGCTCTCCTTTCCCTGCCTCAGCTGGCAGAAGGCAAACTAAACTCCTCTTGGGTTTCACCAATAAACTTTGAGAGCACACGTCTTCTTTTAGCAATGCATTCTGGCAGCAAAGCAGCCAGCAGTGCCTGCAAACGAGCCAGCCTCACCACCATGCTGCTCCTGCATGGCAGCGACCTCAGCAGCAAAACTGCACAGAGAAACACTGGGGCGTGGGGGAAAGAGCTTCCTCCTCGTCTCATGTGGATGCAAGGTCGGCAGATGGATCGCAGCCAGCCCATAAAGCACCCATCAAAGCTTATAAAGCAGCCTCAATCAACCCCAGGAGCTGTGTGTGATTAACCTGACCAAAGTTTTACAGCTGCTGACACAAGATAACCGGTTTCATTTTTCATCTCTTTTTCCATCTCTGCAGAAATTACCCTGAGAAGGGAGGTGTGACCCCTGATCCCCTGCAGTGACAGAGCTGCCCTGCAGCAGTGCGGGCTGCTGGCTGACTGCTGCAGCTCCCCGTCTTCATGGGGTCAGAACTGATCCCAGCTACGGAGCTCAGATTTGGGGAAGCTCAAGGGCTCCACATCCAGCTTCTCATTCGTGGAAATCCATTACGATCACCTCCCCAAAGCAACAAGTTTGGGGTCTTTTATGTAAAACAACTGCAAGGAAAGAGTGGTGAGCTAGCACGGCTCTGCACCGTCTTTACCTCCTTGCTCTTCAACACAACCCTGCTGGCTGTGGAGTTAATCACCTTTTGATTACTTTTTGTTTGTTTACTTTAGTTAGAGCAATGGTGATCTCCAGAGTTTTCCTGGAGCCCTCAGGTTTCAATTCCAGCAGGCTGGTAGTGTTGTTCCGTGTGCCTTTCCCTCTGCACTCGTTCTGCCCAAAGGATAAGCACTGTGCAATTAGGAGCAGAACTTAATAAGTCTTCACGTTACTAGAAGGAGTTTATTCTTATAAATAGGCTTTGTGAGTCACTGTTCTGCCACCCAGCTTCACATGGAATGCTGGGCTGCGTCCGAAAGGCAATAAACGTTCTGTATCGCTCCTCTCCCGATCCTGTTTCTTAAGAGCAGATGTTGAGATGGTTGTCTCCCCACCAGAGCCCAGCTGAAAAGCATTACCTGCACTCCGAGTGTGAACCCTGCCGAGCTACTTCCCGGAAGTCACCCGGGTAGGATTAGTGTCCGAATTTCAGCTAATTCTTCCAAGCATCTCTCAAAGCCAATTGCTTTCCCGTTTTTCGCAGGAGTTTGCTCCAAAAGGCAGCTCGAACAAAAGCGAGAACCGGCCAGCTGCAGAGCTCCTCGGAGCCGCGGACCTGCCGGCCCCGCGCTGCTGCAGACCCAGCAGCCTCTGCACGGCCGTAAGAACAACAGTGGCACAGGGACACCGACGGGCACGGCCCGCGAGCCGGAGCGCCGAGCGGGGAGGAGAAAGAAGCTCGTCTGTACGTTGCACAGCAGTCGGATGGAGCCGCTGCACAAAGAAAGTTCAGCCCCGGGCGCACGCATTCCTCCGCTGTCCCTCCCCTGGGGGAGGTCGCCTGTCTGCTGCTGCCGCTGCTTCAGGGGGGTACCGGGGAGCCAAAGTACGGCGACGCACCTCCAGCACCCCTGAGCCGAACCCGGCCCCTCTGCACCGCAGCCACCGCCTGGCTCAACACCCCCATCCCTCTGCCCCCTTCAGCCCTGCACAGCTGCCCTCTTGCCCCAACAACACGCTGCCCCGCGGTGCCCCGTCCCCTCGATCCCCCGTCACTTTGCTCCCGGCCCCTGCAGCCCCCCGGTCCCGTCCGTACCGCGCGCTCAGGCGGAGCAGCCCTCGGCGGGGCAGAGCTGCGAGCAGTGCGGCGGTGGCCATGAGTGCGGCGACGGCAGAACCGGGGGGGCCGCTCCGCTCCGTACGCAGCTCCGGCGGGGGCGGTGCGCGGCCCGGCCCGGCCCTCCTCAGCCCCGGCTTGGCCTCACCCGGCCCCGGGGAGGGCAGGGCAGGGCTTGGCCGGCCTCGCCCCGCAACGGCCCGGCCCTGGAGGGAGGACGGGGTCTGGGAGCCGGGAGCCCTGCTAACCGCCACCCGCTCAGCCGTGTGGAGTGGGTCGCAAAGCATCTTCTGCGCGTGGGGGCCCCGCTGGAGCAGCAGGCAGGATGCCGCGCGTCCCAGGGCACTGCCGCGGCTTCCCGGGATCCCCCCTTTGCTTCCCGGCCACGGCACGCTGCTGACGGCACTGAGCCCCGTCTCCCTGCTCGCTTCTCTTCCCAGCTCCCTGCCATGCAGCTCCGTCTCTCCGCTCTGTCCCAGCGGCCGCTTTTGGCCTCACCCCAAGCGCTTTGCCGCAGCCGCCCCGAAACCCTCACGCAAATCCCGAGCCTTGGCTGACACGGAATTTGGTACGAGGGCTGAAATTGACTCTGCCAAGGCAACCGGCGCTGCTTGCCTGTTTTTCTGCATCCGTCAGAGCCCTGTGAGTCATTAATTTCTAGCCTTATCCACTTAATGAATTATCGCAGTTACCACTTCGCTAGCGGCTTTCAGCACTCTGGCTGTCTGTACCCCGTCACATCAAACAGAGCAGCGAGGAGCGGCAGAGCCGGGCTTGCCGAGGGCAGAGGCAGCACCCAGAGGAGCCCCGCAGCGCACAGCGGCACTGAATGGTGCAGAAGGGCTGACACGTGTGGCATTCCTTGTGGCAAATGATTGACAGACTCTCCGGGCACTGCTGGAGGCTAAGGTATAAATTTGGTGCCAGAGGACAACCCGTGTCTCAAACATCACACAGACATTAACCACCGGGGTGGGCTGAGAGCGGCCTGATTCTCACTCAGCCACTGACCTGCAGGACAATCGCTGGCAGTCATTTCACAACCCCACTTCTGGTTTTCCCTCCGCCCAGGTGGACGCCAGAGATCAGCAATGGGAGATGCTCCAAGGCTCGCTCACCGTGTCGAGTGCAACAGAGCTTATGAACAAAGGCATCAATACTGGCTGCAGTGAATCTTAGGTATCAGAGCCACAAAACATGCTCGTAACACAACCATGTAATGAAATGCTGCCTGCAACCAAATCTTGTGTTTGGGAAGGTTGGCTTCAGAAGTAGATGTTGGATTTCTCTCAGTGTGCATTGCTCATGAAGCACAAGGAGCTTGTTTGGTGGCAGTAGTGGTGCTGATTTATTTGGTTGGAGGAAGGAAAACTTTGTCTTTGAAATGTGAAAAACTGGTGAGCAGGTAGGTGAGTGTGCATTTCCATAGGTGATGTAAGGCTGTATGGCACTCATGGCCAGGAGTCACTGCTGCAGCAAAGCACAGTGCAATTATCTGTATCTGTACTGCAGGAGCATCAGTGTGCACTCAGTGTCGTATAACCACAGAGAAAAAAAACAAATGTCTTTGAAAAAAAAAAAAAAAAAAGAAAAAGAAAAAGAGGAGTCAGCTCTCCTCTCCTCTCCTCTCCTCTCCTCTCCTCTCCTCGGCACAGATTTGCCCTTCATTGCCCTCTGAACCTCGCTGCAAAAAGCACGAGCTTTGCACAACCGGACCTCACTTTTCTCCAAAGAGGGCTCTGCCATTTCAGCTCACCATTGGGAGGCACAATAGCGTGCTTTACCAAATTCCTGTAACCTCCTGGATGAAAGCACGCCAACCTTAGGTACCTTCCATGGTATTTTCTAGGATGCAAATCCTTGTTTACCTTGTTTACCATGCCTTTGCTCAGAACCTCCAATAATCTCCGTTACATCTAAGGTAAGCAGATCCCCCGTGCTGGAAGAGGCTCAGTGGCACTGCACCGAGCAGCCAAGGTGCTCCCCGGGCACAGGTGTGCCGCAGCAGCACTCACAGACGCCTCTGTAAGCGCACGTAGGTCACAATGCGTGGAGGGGCTTGGAAACTCAAGGCTCGTTCTCACCACAATGCCGTTACTGAGGAGCACTAATTCGGCTCTGCCTCAGGAAAAACTCTTCCTCGGACTTTTCCGGCCGTGGGTCGATCGGGACAGGAGAGCACTTTGCTGGTGGAGCTTCCGGACCAGAAGAGAAGTTGCAGAATTTCTCCTCGCAGAGAGGAACGCCTCGGTCCAACTGCAGCTCCCAAAAGACAATCCGGGCTCCGAGCGCGGCGGCGGCGGCACGGCTCTGTGCAATGCGGCCGGCCAAGGCAGGGAGGCGCGGATCGCTGCGCGCTGCCGCTCGCAGGGCCGGCAACGCCGCTCCGGGCCGCCAGGGGGCGCTGCGCGACACCGCGGTGCGGACGTGGACGCGGAAGTGGCTGGCGGGGCGGCGGGGCGGCGCGGGGTCCGCGGAGCGGCCATGGCGCGGGGCGGCGGCAAGGCGGGCAGCCTGAAGGACAAGCTGGATGGCAACGAGCTGGACCTGAGCCTGTGCGGCCTGAGCGAGGTGCCGGTCAGGGAGCTGGTGAGCGTCCGAGCGTGCGGGGCCGGCCGGGAGCAGCGGGCCGATGCCGGCTTCGGGGCAGCAGCGCTGTGAGCCGGCGTGCGGGGACGGAGCCGGGCGGCGGAGCGTCACGACCCGTTCGGCGGAGCGGCGCTGCCCGGCCGCGCGAATGGCCCCGGGTTCGCTCCTTAGAGCGAGATCCCGGCTGCGGCCCCGTCAAGATACGACGTAGCTTCGCGGAAACAATACAAAATATCGCGGAAACGATACAAAAGTAGCGCCTTCGCGGAGGTTTCCGCACTGTACCCGTACGTTCATTCCGGACTGCTTTCTTTCAGGCTGCGCTTCCAAAAGCAACCGTGCTGGATTTGTCCTGTAACAGCCTGGTTTCCTTGCCGGTAAGATGCCCGACAGCCTTTGAGAGGATGAAGCAGAGCTGGTAGGAAATATCGGGAAGAGACCCCTGGTGCTCCAACAGCCGCCGGCTCAGCCGGAGGTCGGAAGGAGCTCTGGGCTCTTTGCTCCTGCGGCGGCTGAAGGCGCCGCTGGCAGCGCAGGGCGGGTCGGTGCAGGCAGCGCTGCGGGACAGAGAGCAGCTGACAGAAAAGGGTTGCGCCGAGCAGAGTGCAGAACCTCCTGCCGAAGGATCCCGGGCTGAATACCGAGCAGGCTCAGCAGCCGCAGCAGTTCAGCTGTCTCAGTTGTTCTGCACACCGCCTCCGGTTCGTCTGCCCCACCGTTACCTACCTCACTTTTCTGAGGCAAAGGAGGTGGGGGGATTCTCCTCCACCAGTTCCGTGGGAAGCTGGGGATTTGTGGCTTGTATCAGGTGCAGACTCGGCACAGCCCCTGCCGAGGACCTTTAGTAAGGTGCTGAAATGCTTTTCCTGCTTTTTGGTTGTGTTTTAGTCAGATTTCTGCAGTTTGACACACCTGGTGAAACTGGATTTGAGTAAAAATCGGCTCCAGCAGCTGCCCGTGGACTTTGGGCGCCTGGTCAGCCTGCAGCACCTGGACCTCCTCAACAACCGTTTGGTCACCCTGCCCGTCAGCTTCGCGCAGCTCAAGGTAAAGCCGGCGGCCGGGCGGTTACGTAAAGCTTTGGGACGCAGCCCAGGGTCTTGTGATCCTTCTCAAGTTGATTTCTCTGGTGAAGCATCTATCCTGACGATACTCCTTCCAAAATTCAGCTGTCTCTGCGCTACGGCCCAGAGGAAATTCTCTCACACCTATTGAGAACGCTGAGCTCCCCACTTGTCTTCCTATTTCATTCTTGGGAAAACCAAGCAGCTCTTTGCTTCAGCTTTGAATTTCTTAAATAACCACAAGTCTGTTGTGATGTTTGTGGCCGTCTGACAGCCCCCCCTTCACCACCTCTTCCTGCAGAACCTGAAGTGGCTGGATCTGAAGGACAATCCCCTGGATCCTGTTCTAGCTAAGGTAGCTGGCGACTGCCTGGATGAGAAGCAGTGCAAGCAGGCTGCAGTCAGGGTAAGGAACGTGCTGCTGTTTTATTCTTGTTTCTTATCTTTTTGGTGATGTTTTTTTCCTCTCTTTACTTAGTAAGCTCTAAAGTTTCTTCAAGCAGTTCTCTGCACTGATTTTACTGCTTCCATGGCTAGAGAAAAAACATGGGGAGTCCCACTCTCAGTAGAACTGAGGACTAAATGCTGCTTTGCTAAGGGATTGAAGGCACAATCAGACAAAATAACTTGTGCATAGGCTTTGTTATATTGTTATACTTTGTTATAACTTGTTATACTCCAGGGTATAAAAATCTTCATAGAACTACTATGGGAAACCATAGGGTCATGTAAATAGTTGCTGCTGGGATTTGTGGAGCAAAAAGTTACAATATGCACTTCTGTTACTGCCTTGCCATGCTGCTGTGAAATAGTTCAGGCTGATGAAACAAGCTGTTCTGTGATCCTCTGTAGCTGCTAGCACCGCTTTTCCATGTAATTTTAGAGCAGAGACCTCTGCTTAACTGCAAAGATTGGTGTAGCAAGAGTTCTCTCCAAGTCGTACCTGGAGGGCTCAGGTCAGCAGTCAGATCCACCTGACTGCCTTCGCACCCACTGCAGCCATTTGTGAGCTAACCTGCCACGAGCCTTCTGCAGCCATCTCACCTTGTTCTCTTGGACCTTGAAGGTACTGCAGCACATGAAAGCGATCCAGTCTGAGCAGGATCGAGAAAGGCAACGGAAGCTCCAGGCAGAGCGAGGTAAGCACAGTCCTCACACTGCTGAATGCTGCCCACAGTAAGGATTGCCAGCAGGCAAATATTTGTAACTATTGGAGTTCTGAGCAGGGTAGAATGGCTGGAAGGAGAAAGATACCCTGGGACACAGTGCTAGTTCCTGCCTTCTTGACAGAATCATAGGACAGCTTAGGTTGGAAGATACCTTAAGAATCACCTGGTTTCAACCCTGCTGCCATGGGCAGAGGCACCTCCAACTGGACCTGGTTGCTCAAAGCCCCGTTCAGCTTGGTCTTGCACCCTTCCAGGGAGCAGAATGAAGGATAAATAAAAGAAAGAAAAAAACCCACCACCACCAGAACAAACCACTACAGCACAGGACAGTTATTTGATTTCAGAGTGTCAGAGAATAGCTAAGGTTGGAACAGGTATCTGGGGGTCATCTGGTGCAACTCCCGCCTCAAGCAGGGGCATTGAGAGCAGCTCGCCCAGGACTGTGTCCAGGGGTTCCAACTAGGAACAGATAAGCAGGCAGTAAGGAAGAAGCCAACGACAATCCTTTATGTAAATGGAAAACTTGCTGTTAATCCCCAGAAATGGAAAAGAAGCGCGAGGCAGAACAGCGAGCCAGGGAGGCTCAGGAGAGGGAACTGAGGAAGCGAGAGAAGGCAGAAGAAAAGGAACGCAGGAGACGGGAATACGATGCTCAGAGAGCTGCAAAACAGGAGGTGGAAAAGAAAACTAAAAAGGAAACTGCGCAGACCCGAAGTAAGTGGTATCCACAGTGAGCTCAGGTAAAGTGCATTTTAATGTGTGCCTTGTGGAAAAGAGTGAACAGGAGCACTGCCTCAGAACTGCGTCATGCTTAACCTGCACTGTAGATTTGATAGTGCCAGATCTGCATTTATGCAGCCTAGGTGCTGAGAGACCAGGAGTGGGGGAAGCAGCACAGCAGCAGAGCTTACAGAAGCCTTACAGACAGGCAGCTGTAGGCAAGTAAAACAGTGATTTAACATCCGGGTTCCTGATGAACTGCTGAGCTACAAGTTTCGTAAAGTGCTCTGAGTGCTCCTAAAAACTTCTCCATTCATTTAATCTTACTGTACTGAACTATAGGTTTAAAAACAGGTCTTGTACAACACACAGATGCTCTGCTCCTTTTTCACTTCTGCCCACGAAAGTGAATCTCATGGTCTTCTCCTAAAGTGACCGTAGTTAAATGAGGAGAGTTCTTTGAGAAAACAGGAGCACAGCACAGGCTGAAAAACGCATTATGTGAGCACGGCACAGACGGGTAAGGATGCCTGAATAATTCCTCCCGTTGTCTTGCAAACGTTGTTCTTGCAGAGCCTGCCTCCAGTTCTCGCGCCCCTCCCCCAGCGCGGCACAAGCACTCGTGGTCGCGGTCGGTGCTGAGGGCGCTGCTGCTGCTGCTGCTCTGCATCCTCGGCACTGTGGCTGTCTGCAGACTGACAGAGCTTCAGCACCAACCGCTGTGCGTCAGCGTGAGCGCTCTCTACGAAGATGTAGTTGCTGCCGTGCAGAGCCACAAAACCCTGCAAAACGTGCTGCAGCAGAACTCGCAGCAGTGATTGTCCTGGATGGGCGCTTTGTCAGCATCTCCTTTCACCATCCACGCAGCTGGAATTCCTATGGAATTGTGTTCTGATGAAACGCTTTTTACTGTCAGCGTTGATTTGCTGGTCCTCTCCACGCACAGTAGTTACTGGCGGACCATCGCTGCTGCGCGCTTCTGTCGGCCGGCCGCTGCCATCACCTGCCTGCATTAACTTAACGCTCCTTGCCTCGAGGGATCCACAGCTAGCTCCTAAGACACAGACAGATGTCACTTCATAGGAGTGGGGAAAAAAGTGGCTTTCAGTTATCAGGTAGTTGTCGCTCTGTAATGCAGGTGTAAGATTTTTTTTAATACGTATCCAGTTCTTGCTCTCGTTTCTGTTAGTGCTAAAATTGATGACGTAGCTGTATGGGAGTAACATAGGTAGGCCTGCTCCAGGACCAATGACGTGTGGAATGGCTGTGCATCTGTGTGTGTTGGAGTGAAGGAGCTGATGTACTATTGAAAGAAACTGAAAATTTTCAATACAACATTTTTCGCATCAATGTGTCTGAAGTGTTTGTGTTGTCACCTCAGGACAGAGCTGTGTTACACACCCTAGAGCAGCAACGCCCCTTTCTGACCACACACAGCAATCACTCGTTGCAGCCAGCTAGGAGCAGCAAAGGAGCTACAGCTCAAGAAGGGCTTCTTGCCAGCCTGCAGTCTTGTCAGAAAGTGAGCGCAGGGGGAGGTGACACAGACAGGAGCTGCTGCGGCTGGCTGCAGCACACGGCGCTGGGTGGCACTGCTGCAGCAGCACAAAGCCTGGCCCAGACTTCACCGTGGGACCTGCAAAGGTTGGGAGTTTGGCACAGTGCTAAAGAAGATTCGGCTGTGTAAAGGCAGAGTAGTTCAAATAATCTCCACACCGAGGAAAACCAAACAAGCATGTCATATCCCTACAGGGTTTGTGATTGTAAAAGAAAGTGAGTGTAAATGTAATGATGCAGCGCAGCTTTCAGAATAGCCATGCTACAGCCTCCACAGAGACACAGCTTTGTTAGGCACCTGATGTGCTCCCTCTTTTGCAGTACTGGAACGATTGCATCATTACACTGACACGAGGAATGGCAACTCCTCTGTTCCACTGTTATTGCGCTGCTACAAAGAAGTCAGTTATGCCATTTCATATGACCGAGGTCATAAGTGAAACAGAAGCTTTCACCTTCCCATAGCTTTATGATACACCTGTAGTTCTCTCATTACCTTTCAGAAGAAATCAACAGCATGGATTCAAAATAAAAGGACAGAGCAGCTTCCCATCCCTCTGACACAGCAGTATATTGCACGTTTTCTACAATTCCTTGAAACAGCTTTAGGTTTTGTTTCTAACTCATAGTCTTTAACAGGTCATTGCTTACCATCCAGAAATACAGCAGACAACACCCAAAGCAACACCTGCCTGTCAGCACCCGGCAGCAACCTGCAGCTCTACCATCTAGAAGAGTCCTGCTTAAGGCAGCAAACGCAAGGCTAATAAGATCTGTCACTTTCAGTCAGCAGCACCTACTGGCCACGCTGAGGCACCCGCTGCGCGCGAAGCCACTGCAGCTCATGGCTGTTTTTCCTGTTTGAGGTGGCGTTCCTCCAAAAGGCAACTTCCATGCATGGAGTGCAGTTCAATTCATACTCAGCACTTATTTCAGTAAGTGCCTCTGGAGCAAAAAGCCTCAACTGTCCTCGTGTGCTCACCAGTGCTGATGGCTTTGTGGGCAGGAAAGCGTGTTCCCCAACCTAATCAAAAGAAAGCTCTTTCTGCCAACTGTTTAGACCTCATAATTCCAGCACATGTAATCAGATTTCAAGACCCTCTATAGATTAAGCTGTCTGTGGACTGAATCAGGGCAGTCTAAATTTAAATCCGAAAATTAGTCTTATTCATTCCCATCTGGCACAGCAGAAAACAAAATGTCTTTGAGAGGTAAAGTTCTTTTCCCTCAGCAGAGCAGGTGCTGGGGGCAGCACCGCACTGAGCAGCACCATTTCTCACACTGAAGAAAGAGAAGGTATCTACTTGTAGTTTGGATACCAGTGGAAAACATCCAAGAAGACACGCCAGGATTACAGAACAGCTCGAGGTCGGAAGGGACCTCTGGAAGTTGTACCCGTCCAAGGAAGTGTGTTAAGAAATAACTGGTGTTATTACAGAAAGTGATTTATTCCCTTGGAAGAACTCTTGACAAATAACAAAAGCACCACCAGTGCCGTAAGGCATGTCCAGTTCATGCTTCATGGAAGACATTCCACAGCTTTCTGTGTAAACGCCAGCCATTCAGCAATTGGATCCAATTTCCTTCTAATGATAGAGACCAAAAGTGCTTCAAGCCTTTAAGCTGCGATCCAGGAGCCCACTTGTCACCTCCGTGCCTTTTCCCAGAAGGAAGATGAATACAACCAGAGAGACCATAGGATCTTCGCTCATCTGGGCTATCCAGAGACATCCAGGCACAGATCAGGGTCGTGGGAAGTCATCTGCACACAGATCCTCCTGGACAGCTCGGGCCCGACACGGCGGCAGGTTGCCGTCACCCCGGTGCCGCGGCGCACAGGGAGGGCAGCCAGCATGTTCTGCTGCTCCTGCTCTGAGGAGCACCTGCTGTAGGCCTGCGAGCAGCACAAAGGAACGGCATCATCTCTTCTCATCCATCGCTCAAAGACAGATCAGTAAATAAACCCCACACGCCTGCAACAGCTCTGCACTCTCACAATAAAACTTGTTTTTCCCCTGGTCTCACTCCAGATCTCATTACGGGTTTGGAGGCAGACAGGCCCCAAACTGCCCAGACAGAACAGGAGAACGGACACTGCGAGGTGTGACACTGCGCAGGCAGGACGAGCAAAGCAGGGCCGCATTACTGTGGTGTCACTGGCAATTTCTTTGGCCTTTCTCTCCGAGGGGAGGCTCTCATACAGGCTTGTCAGTAGTCTGCTCCATAAAGCTGAAGCAGCGTGTGCCAAGGAATTGAGTTTGTTCACCACCTTCCTAAACACTTCACGCAGAATCCTTGTGTCAAAGCTAACGCAAAGGTAAATTATTCCTACCATCCCCACAGCAGCTGTTTGCATGCAGCCCTCGGGACGCAGGAGGCATCCTTACCTGGACCAGCAGCTGAGGAGAAGGGTACGCAGACACAACAGCCTCAGCCATCTCCCCACTGACCCGGTTAAACTGTTGGATCTGCCTCTTCCAAACTTCAAAGAGGCCCTTTCCAGAAGGTTCCACTTTCACGCCTCTGCACCACTTGTTCTCTAAGTAGAAAGAGAATCCTGTATTCTGCTGCTCTCGTCTGTGGATAAAGGATGAGAAAGCAAGTGACCCTCCCAAAAATTCCAATTCCTGTACCTGTTACCACACAGCCAGAGAGCCACCTCTCGTGCTGTGCTGCTAAAGACACCAGTGGCATCAGCATGCTAAAAAGGTGACCCTGCTTTCTCTACATCAGTTTCCTACACGCAGGCCAACATTTTCTATTGAAAAAGGAACCATCCTGTAGCTAGGAGAACAAGACCTTGACTTAATGCCAAGTGAGACAACTTGAAATCAAAGTCTGCCTTCACCCCACTATTCCCCCCAGGAAGCCTGAAAGCAAAGCCTCTCCAAAGAAAACATAACCAAAATCGCCTGCTTACTCACTTGAATGGAGCTTCAGCTACAGCTTTTGTAAACATGGTGGCAAACTCTCCGAGTTCCTCCCAGCTCTCAAAAAAAGTGACTTGGACACGTGTGCAGAGTTGCAAATCCACCAAGGCCTGTAAAGGTCATTGAAACAACAAATGGAACAACTCACGTTCTTACATCAAACTCCATTCATGACTGAAAGAAAAACAAAAAAACAGTCCTAACATCCTGGTGTAAGTCAGGAACACCCATTCCCTCCCCATTTTGCAAACAGCTGAACACAAAGCGTTTGGAGGCACTTTGTTTCCTACTGTCCAATAGCAGTTAGTGCCATATCAGCTGGGAGATTCCTGCAACATGCAGCAACTGCTCCTGGGCGGCAGCAGCTGGCTTCATCGTCAGGCCATGGAGTTCAGGAAATGCTAACAGATTCATTTTTCACTTCCAGAGTCAAGGTGAACAAGACACAATAGCCCAGGAGAGGGTTGGTTTGTAACTGAACAGAGGGGAACTGAAAGAGCTCTACTTATTGTGCATAAACCAACAGAAGCTGAAGATCCCAGTCCCAGAAAGCGCGTGATGGGGTCAAGTGTCCATGCAGAGGCAGACAACAACTGCATGCCTGTTCTACTCACATCTTCCACATCCAGTCTGCTGATCTCCAGGCCAGGATCCTTAACCCGTTTCTGCCTCTGGCCTCCCCTGTCTTCTGCCTGGCTCCCATTTGCTGTTACCTGTTGCAGTCTCTTTTTTGACTGAGCTCTGAGACACCTAAGAAGAGGAAGCTCAGATTGGGAATTCTGAAGGGCGAGGCTGCACTGGAGCATAGAGCACCTCAGGGCCAACACCCTGCGCTGACACCGAATCTGTAGGACAGGCCATTGGGTACACAAGCATTACAGCTGACAGAAAATTCCTCTGCGGCATTTATTTATTTATTCTTAGAGCAACAGAAGCCTTTCAAGAAAGTATCTGTGAACATTTCTGCCGCCCTCATACTCATACAGGTATCTGTCACTGGTCACTGTGCTGACGAGCTAGACAGACCTTTGTTTCTGCTCCTACGTAACAGATGTGGAGCAGTTCTAGATGGGAATTTGTTACACGTCTTTGCTAGAAGGAATTAATGTAAACACTGCCTCTTTCAGTGGGACAACACTGACGCATTTGAAGAGAAAAATTCTAACCTGAAATATTTCTCTACTTCAACAACTGTTAGAGCCAGAATTTTCCCAGGCATCTTTTCCATCACATGAGCTACAAAGCTCTGTAAGGTCTCCTTCTGCTCTGTGCAGCCTTGGGCCTCCTGCAAAGAGCAATAGGAAAAAGAATGGAACCATCCCGAGTAGCACAGATGAGACCAGCAGCCTATGGCCCGAAGTTACAGCTAAATCTTTGCGTAGGTGAAGTTCTGCTCCTGAAGCTCTCGGGTGCAAACAGAGAGCACTTGATCTAGTAACAAGTTACAGTAAAGAACACAAAAATAACAAAACATACATCACAAAAAAAGCCCCACAACATACTTAACCTGACAGCATCTACTAAGACAATGTTACCTCTCAAAAAGCCTCTAACAAATAGCAGCTAGGAAAGAAAGCTTACCAGAACTCTGTCTCAGACAATCTCAGTGCTTTTTATCAAGTATAGATCAGACTTATGATTCAATAAACCATAGATAGCTTCCAAATGAAAAGGGATGGCAAATACCACCCTCTCCAGAAAGCCACATTCAGAGAGCACAAAAGTTATAAGCAGTCTTACTTGCTTGTAGTTACGAACCATGGACAAGAACTCTTCCAAGCCAAGCAGAACCAGGAGATTCGGCTCTTCTGTCCATTCATTACTGTCCTCAGCCTGCCCAGACACAAAAACAAACAGCCAGACCAACGGCCTGTTTACAATTCAAAATCAAACCAGTGTTCTCAATCTGAGGTAGGGAGAAGGTTAGAGGAATGTTTGCTTGGGATGCTAAAAACAATTACTATCAAGTGCAAACAACGTGCAAAGAAAAGGGCAAGATGATTTTGTCCCCACACCTGAGATAACACTGACTTCCTCCTCCAGGTAATGCTGCAGGGAACAGCCTGGCTCTCAACCACGCAGGAATAATTTGCAGACTGCAAAGCAGCGCGGATCTGCACCCCACCTTCAACCTGCAAGAGAACTGAGATTGGCACACGGGTCAGGATCCCACAGCCAGAGCTGCTGCGAGGCCAGCGCAGGCTGCAAGCAGTACCTGGATCCAGCACCACAGCGATGTATTTCTGGCACTCCCCCGGCCGCTGAGCTCTCAGCACTTTGGCGAGGTTCTTCTTTCTTTCTCTTTCCTCCTCCTGCCGCCTTTTCCTCGCTTCCCGATCCTTCCTCCTCTTCCAGGCCGCCTGGCAAATCGCCTCCCCTTCCTCCCGGCCGTACTTCGGCTTTTTCGGAGGAGGAGAAGCTTCTGCGTTTTCTCCACTTTCCAGAGGCCCCCCAGGCCGGGCCGTACGCTCACTCACAGGGGCAGCCGGAGGGATCGCCGGCCCCTCAGAGCCAGGGGGGCTGACGGAAGGTCCTCCCTCGGGTAACAGCGAGGCTGTTGGAACAGCCCGTTCCCTGCGGCCAGCCGCCAGCCGCTCACCGCCGCGAGGACGGCCGTCCCGCTCAGCCGCAGCCCCGCCACCCGCCGGCAGAAGCCCCGGACCCGCAGCGTTCTGCATCGGCCCGCCGGGCGGCAGCCTCCTGCTGACCCTCTCAGACAGGGGAAGGATCTCTACTTCATCCTCGCTGTCACTGCTCAGCATCTCAACGCCGCTCCCTCGCCTCAGAGGAGGAGGAGAAAACGACGCCCTCAGAAGGGCCGGCCCGCCGGCTGCCGGCAGCGGCTGTAGCAGAGCAGCGAAGGCTGGCAGCTCCTCATCACCACCCTCAGCTCCCGCCATTTCCTACGCCTCCAGAAGCGGCCGTTGAGGGGAAAACAGAGGGCGGGCGTTTGGCGCGCTGGGCGGTGATTGGCCGGATCCCGAGCGCATGCGCCTGCGGCGGGAGGGGATTGGTCCGCGCGCGTGAGCACGTGTGCGTTCGGACGAATCTCCTCCTACTGCTCCGGAAGGAGAAGTGAGGCGGTGCCGGAAGATGGCGGCCTGGGGGCGGCTGTGTGAGTGAGAGGCGTTGCGGGAGGCGCGGCGGGGCGGTGAGGGTCTGTGGGATCGTTGAAGTGGAGCGGGTTTGAGGCCCGGCTCGCTCTGAAGCACAGGACGGCCTGCGGGAAGCCGTGCCGGACGGTTCCCGGTTCGCGCTCTCTGAGGCCGCTCTGTGGTGAAAGGGCATCGCTGGGAAAAAACGCTGGGCTGTGTTGGGCCGAACGGCGCGGGGCGCTGCGGTCAGACGGCGCCGTTTGTCTGCGGGAAGGGGTTTGCAGGCAGTGATGTGGTGGCGGCAGACGCCATCCGGGCCGTAACAGAGGTTTCTTTTTCCCTGGACTTGTGCTGGTTGTAGCCCCAGGGTTTGTGCTCAGGGAGTAATTATGCCTGTGTATCGTCCTGAAGTGGAGTCTCCGCATTTTGCTTTATCAGTACTGGTTGCTTTCTTCTTGCTTTGTTCTCCTCAGCCCTTGAGATGCAGCCTATTTGCAGAGGATTTAGTGGTTGAACAATAATTTGCCCTGGGATTTCTTTTCCTCAGGGCTTTTGTTTACCTTTAAAGCCGTTAACTGACATCCTCTAAATCGGGAAAGAAAAAAAACAACACCTTAACTTACATATTTTTCAGCTGGTTTGTTGCTGTTGTTCTTGTTCCAAATCTAGTTCTGTCCGTTCCACAAACGAGCCTGGCTGCTGTCAGATGCGCTTCTAAGAAATCCGGGGGCAGCTCAAAAAATTTGGGTGGTCGCAGCCCCGGGAAGCGCTACGGAGTGAAAAAGTTAGAAGGTAGGTGAGATGTCTGCTGAGCCGCATTGGCACCCACGGGGTTTTCCACAGGTATCCCCTGCCAGCTGGGCTGATTGTGGAGCATTCCGGTAGGAGGCGGCTGGGGCATTTTTCCAAGAGAAAGGAAACAGGAAGTTCAGCAGAAACTCGCCTCCCGTGGGCAGGGGTGGCAGCAGGAGGGCGCGGTGAGTCAGCCCTCCCTGCCAGCAGGACTGCGGGAGGCCAGACAAAACTGCCTATGGAAAATGTACTCTGGTACTTTGCCTCCCTGCGGAGTCCAGGAGGAGGGTACCCTGTGGGACAGCTGGTAACTGAAGCGTCCTTTCCCTCTGCTCTGCGTTAAGAAGTTGGTTGTTTTAGATGTTTACAAAGGGGAGAATTATGATGTGCAGAGGAAGCCAAAGTACAGATTCTTGCAGCTCAGTGCTTAATAATTAGAGAGTTTGTTCATGAAAACATGTCAGTGTTAGAGGTAATATAACAAATGCCTTCAGCAAGTACAAAATGCCTTGTGCTCTAGAAGCAATCTCCTCAAAAAGAAAATTCCCACAGAAAGCTCTTAAAGTCCTGGAACCGTTTGTTCTTCTGCCAGCCTCGGGGCTCCATTTCTCTGCAGTCTGACTCTGCCATTCTGTTGCAGGTACATTTGTGCATGCAGGCAACATTCTGGCTACTCAGCGATTGATACGCTGGCACCCAGGGGCTCACGTAAGTCACACACCTTGTATTTTAAAACGTGGAGCAGCAGATGCTGCTGAAGCCGGGTATCAAACAACATGGACAGATGCCCTGGCCCGCTGTAGTGAAAGACCTCCAGCCTTTCCTTTCTAAGGCCATCTGGCTCTTTTCCAGGTGGGGATGGGCCGGAACAAGACGCTCTACGCCCTGGAGGACGGGATTGTGAGATACACTAAAGAGGTCTATGTGCCCCCCCCCCGCAGCAGCGAGAGCAGGGAGGTGATCTGCTCTCTGCCCAAAGGAGCGATTCTTTACAAAACCTTCATCAGTGTTATCCCTACCACGAAAGTAGGAAGCTTTAAGCTGGTCACCATGCTCTGAGTCTCCCGTGTGACACAGGAGTGGATGGGAGGAAGCAGCTGGGACAGAGCGCTACAGCTGGACTGCCGTCTGAGAAGGACAAGAAAACCTTGCTCTGAAATTAGCTGTGCTTTGCTCTCTTGCTCCCAGAGCACACGCAGTAGGTGTTTGGGCATTGGAATCATCTGCTGGCCGCTGTAAGTGTTCAATAAATGCACTGGAGTTCTTGAGGGTCTTGACTGTTCACAGAATGTTACCTGTGTTCCTTCAGCAGCTCTCCTTCCCCTGGAGAACCTGTTCCATTGTTCCACTGAATTAGTTCTATCTAGAATCACCTTTGTGACAATACTTGTCCTACTAACAATTCCATCTATTTTTATTCATTTTTAGTCATTGCTGCTATATTTGTTTCTTAGCTCCAAGACATTACAGAAAAGGAGAGATTCCTTTCCAGCTGTATCTAACTGCATCCCAGAAAGCTAGATTTCTGCTGGTATCTAACTCACCTCACTGATTAACTCAAATGCCCAGAAGCATTCCGTTTACAACCATGTGAGGCAATTCTGTGCTCTTAAAGCTAATTGGTGACTGATTTTAGAGTGCCTGTTAAGAGGCGCAAGTCTGGGATGGTATTTGAAACTTAGCAGCTGGAGGTGTCTCATAAAGCCATAATCCAGAAGACTTTTCTTCTCATCTTTCCTGAGTCATTCCGTGATTGCTTATGTTACTTGAAAGAAAGAAGCCTGGATGCCTCATAGCCAAACTGATCTCATTTTATCTACAGGTTTGTAAACAATTTGAAGCTTAGGCTTTACAGTAGAAAACAGGTTATCAAAATTGGTAGTGTAGTGACATTAATAGATTGTCTTCTCCTCAAAAGAAGACAAGGTAAGATGCACCAGAAGTGCATTTCCACCTTTGCTTTACATTCCCCATGGAGGCTGCCGGCCATTTTGCCCACTCTGCTGCCCTTTTGCACACCCAGCTGTGCCGTTGTCTCAGCACTCTGCGTTTGCACACAGCACTGCCAGTGACACGATCCCTTCAACCTCAAGTTTCTGCACATCTGAAGTTCATACAAACTGCTGCCATGAGAGCGTGCAGCAGCGCTCCGATGCAGATTCGTTCTGTCACTAGCAGGTCAGGATTGCCATTGGGAATCTGATACGCCGATAAACAGTTTTGTCTCCTGAGGAATAGATGAAGTGGCACAGCACGACCATCAGAGCTCAAACACGTGTGCTTGGCAGTGCCGGCCGCGCCCTCAGAGCTAATGATCCACCAGCTGCCTGCAGGAACGGAGCAGACCTTCACCTTTGCTTCGCCCCTCACGCAGAGCAAAGCAGCTCTGCTGCCAATCCACCGCCTCGTGTTTGGCAAATGGAAGAGCAAGCAGACGTCCCTGGTCACTGCAGTCAGGGGGAGCTCCGTGGTTGTCTCCATGCTGCAGGATGGGCGTCCAGGACAGCTGGGTCCGACTCGCCTGCCTCCAACCAGCTGACTGGAAACAGGAGCGAAGGTCTGAGGTTCGGCTGTTCCCTCAGGTGGGAACGACGTCCCAGGACTTCTGCCACTGACGCGAGGAAGAAGCACGGCAGCACGAAGTCTTACACAGCTGTGCTCTGCTGGCTTTGGCAGCTGACCGGGGCCTGGGGGGGGGCTGGCACAGCGCATCTGTCCGCGGCCTCTGAGGTGATTTCCACTCCTGAGAAAGCTGGAGGGTGCCGCAGGGCGTGCTCATAGGGAGGGGGCAGCTGTTGAGAGAATCAGAAACAAGCAGGTCACCCCACGTCCTACACAGCACACACAAGGCACCAAAAAACATTGGAATTAAATTCCAGGTCTCAGAGCAGCAGGCTGCTGGCTGGCTGCGAGCTGGAAGGTAAGAGCGGAGCTTGGCATCGTTTGCCTCGCAGGGGGGCAGAAACCCACAGGTGTCACAGCATACCCCTCCCGCTCCCTCCAGGATGCCATGTTAGGTTCCTGCTCTGCCCCGTGCCAGGGACTGGGCCCTGCTTGTTGCAAAGCCAGAAAAGAATTGGCTTCTGCTGAAACAGGACTGTTGTTCACTTCCCTTTAGCTACGTGCAGGCTGTAGGGGGGTCTATAAAAGCAGGCTACAGTTTGTAACTTCAGAGTTTTCAAGGCTCAGTACTCCCAAATTTAAGCCTGTTGGGCTTTAGCAGGCACAATTCTGAGCAAGTCACTCAGCACAGGCTAAGAAATGTTGAGTTCAATTTCTTGTCCTTGGTGTGGCTGGGCCTTGCTTTCCTCTGCCCTCAGTGCTCTCACATCAGGGCATTGGTTACAAACCCAAGTGCTGAGTGCCAAGTGCTGACTATTCCAAATACTGCATTGTAGCACTACAAGCTGAAAATCCAGGTAAACCAGGGAGTGCTTTGTGCTCTGCTAAGGATTTCAAATATTTCTCTGCTGCTTCAGTCAATGAGGACTTCTTCAACAGGAGTCTCATGTCAGATGCCCTCTCTTGGACTGCAAATCTTAAATACCACAGCAGGCAAAGCCTCTGGCTCTCAATAAGCCACGAGCACTTCGAGGTAACAGCACGGGGCTGTCAGAAACGTCCTGCTGGGAGAAAGGAGCGAGGAGCCACGGAAGCCTTCAGATCCAAAAATAGCTTTCCACGCTCGGCCTGGCACAGAGCGCTGATCATAAGGGCTCGCTCTGCCATCAGCACTTCTGTCCTTACTCCCAGCACAGGCATTTCTGCAAACGCACCGGCAGAGATGAATCATTAACTGCACAGATGTACACAAAAGGAGCCTCTGAGTACACCGTGTGCCCTTCCCAGAGATAATGGCTATCGGAGAATGGCGAGCGTGGGGAACAGAGTCCATAAGCACTGCAAATCACTGGAGCCAAAGCCAGATACGGGTGGGAGCAGCGCTGCCCCTGGACCCTCACCGACCGAGAGCAGCCCTGGGCTCACCTCCTGGGAAGGCTCTGCCCACAGCCCAAACCTCTCTGCGATCATCTGATGGATCTCCCGCTGGCGATCCTTCTTCCGCACGCTCTCATAGCTGGGCAGGCGGGGCTCCCAGGAGGGCAGCTGGTAGCTGCTGGGCGGCGCGACACAGAACGGCTCCTCTGCCTGGAGACACCAAAGCCAGAAGTGTCAGCGCAGCGGGGCTCTGCTGGGAGCCGGTGGCCCAATGCCACCTCGGGATGCTTCAGGCTCAAAACTACGGGTGCTGCTCCTTGAACCCCTTGAAGAGGAAATCCGCACACCCTTCACCCCGCACACCTGGAAATAATTACACCACGGGTGCAAGATGCAGACACGCTCTACAAGATCCCAAAGTCCAAGGGATCTGCCCAATCAAAGCAAGACATACAAAGACAAGGTGGTGCCCTCCGTAGCATCCCTGGGCCTTCTGCACCAGTTCTTGTGCACAGACAGCTTTCCCAGAGCCCGACTCCTCTCTCATGACCCCCAAGACCTTCCCGGGACACCACAACCTTCCCAAGTCTCCTTCCAGGGTCATCGGGACCTTCGCTACCCTTCCCCCCAGCTCCCCGTAGGGAAAGCAGCACCACCTGCATGCCAGGATTCTCAGCAGCGCTCTCCAGCCGCGACGCTCTGCACTGGGGTCCCACCAGCCGCTGGTTGCTGCTGAAGTACGGGGGTTGGCAGTCCTGGAACGAGGGGTCAGAGAGGAGCAGTGAGCTGAAATCCCCCCCGCAGCTGCAGCTCCAGACGAAGAGCCGCCGGCTGTGCCCGGCGCGCCGTGCCTGCACCCTTCCCGCACCCAGAGCTCCCGCACGGTCTGGCCGGGCAGCAGCAGGTCCGCTCTGGGCGCCCACGTCGGCTGGCCGCGCTGCCGGGCGCCGGAGGCTTCACGCAGGTTCAGCAGAATTAGCTTTCACGGGGGAACAGCACGACATAAAAAAAGGAAAAAAACAGAAAAGCGGGCACTCGGCTTTTCCACTGGTGTAGATAAGAGCTCTGGCACGCGTTCAAGGTCACAGGATTTGTAAACTCTTATCTATTCAGGGATTCGTTTCAGAGCAACGCTGCAAGCAGCTCTGAGGAGCAATTACGGTTCTGCTCCTGAGCAGCCTTGCTGCGCTTAAACGCGATTCCCTGCAAAGGCGCTGAGCAACTGCCAGCAAAGATTCCTCCCGCGGAGCGAAGCGCTCCCTGCTCTCACAAAGCGGCGCGGAGCCTTCGGACGGACCGCGGGGCTGAACGGGGGGCGGAGGGCAGCGCGCGTGACTGCGCCGGATGGCGGCGCGGTGCCGCCCCGTTCCGGGTCAGCGCGGCACCCACCGGCCCGGGCAGCGGGGAAGCCGCCTTTCCGCACCCAAAGCCCGAAGCGCCGTCCCCGCATCGCTCGGAACGGCGCCTTCCCCGGGCACCGCACAAAGGCGAGCCGGCCGAACACGCCGCTTCCCGGCCCCACTCCTCGCGAGGCCCCTTCCCCGTAAAGCGGAGCAGCGCGGAGCTCTGCTCGCCAGCGTGCCGAACGGAGAAAGGGAAGGAAGGAGGAAAGCGCGACCCGGGCGGCCGAGGGGAGCCGCGGCGGTTCCCCCCCAGCAGAGCCCGGCACGAGGGCACGGGGCACTCACGCACTGCCCGGGGCTCTGGAAGAAGCGGCACGAGCAGAGGAACTGGCAGCACGTGGGGTCCCGGCGGTACAGGAGCAGCAGCAGGACGAGCACCGCCACGAAGAACAAGGACGTGGACACGGCTGCCAGGGGAGAGGACATGCAGTGAGCTGCGGGCAGAGCGCGCAGCCCCTTTGCCCGCGGGGTCTGTAGGAACAAAGCAGCGCGGGGAAGCCGGACTCGCCCGCTGCCCGACCCAGAGACACCGAGAGCACCGCGCGTCCCCAGCGCTTCTCTCGCCGTAACGAGACATCGGCTCTGTTCCCAGAGCGCGTCCCACGACCAGCTCAGCTCCGCCCCGTACCCCCGCGCTGCCCCGAGCGTATCTCGGGACGCAGCCACGGCTCCCCGCAGCTTCCGCGTCTGCGGTTCCCAACGGACCGCGTGCGGGGAGCGGAAGCCATTCCGGCTGCAGGAAGCGGACCGAACGCTCCCGGTTCCGTCCCGGCACCGCGGGGAACCCCGGAGAACGTCCCCGGCGCGGAGCCCCGGCCGCGCACTCACTGGCAGCGACGACGATGGCCAGGACGTTGCTGTCCATGTTGTCCTCTCCGGGCCGCACCATATTCCGACCGCTCCGCTCCGCAACCCGCCGGGCCGGGCCCAGCACAGCGCCGG